TCTGGCAGCCACTGGCATCGCTTAGGCAAGGACAATGACACTCCAACTGGCACCTGCACCGGCGTGATCCCATCCAGCGGGCAGCCTCTGTGCAATCCTGGCGGAATGGCATCATCTAAACGCCACGAGTCTCACATCCCCGGCCTCTCCCAGGTACCGGCCACATGCTGCCGGCCTGCACTAAGACAGACGGTTGGGAAACGAGCTGAGATGCAGTGTCATGCTGTATGGCATGATTACCCAGAATGCCCTGCTACAATATCTTTTGAGGTTTATCACCATAACCTAAACCAGGTTAAAGTTTAGGTGCCCATAAGGAAGAACAGGGAAGGCTATCAGGGGCCCAGATATTGGGGGATGGGGGGCATCAGTGTATGATTGTGGAAAACGGAAGCTTTGGTTTGGAAAGGGGGGGGGGCATTCGGTAGAGAAATGAAAGCTAACTAGCTGCCAGTGAGGAATAAGATTCCGATCTGTGATTAAAGCAGACCAGTTGGGAAACGCGAGGTGATGCGTTATGTTAAAACCACGCCGTCCCGGTTGGTAGAGTCAGCCTTTAAACCCACGCAGGGTGTGGGGCCGGCTACTCAAACACAGGGGCCAAATTTCGCAGACTGCGCAAATTAAGTGTCGCAGCAGGAGGAGGAAGGGAAGCCAGGGAGTTACAAAACAACCAAGATAAAATTATGGGGCGGCAGGCAAATTGAAACCGAAGTAGATAAATGCAAAGCACTTCAGTGGGGAGGTCTAGAAGGAAGACACCATACTGGGGGTGTCACACATGGAAAACAGCTGCTGTTTATGTGGAGTTTGAGCACATGTATTGATGCCGACCTGCATGCCAACAAAAAAATGCATATATACATCTGTAAGTGCTTAGAATTTAAGCCAAAGAAAACCACGATGCGACATGCAACACAATTATACAGCTTACAAAGGTGACGGGAATGATCCACACATTTATCGTACCAACGTATCTTTGTACAACCTGACAGTGAGCCTGGAATCAATCCCAGGAAGCAGTGCCAGTCCACTACAGGGCTCAAACACCCACTAGTGGGTCAAACACCCACAACAGAGAATTTAGATACAACAGCTCAACTACGTGCATGTTTTTTGGACTGTGGGACAAAAGTGCCCAGAGGAAACCTACACAAACACAGGAAGGACTCCAAAAACACAGAGCAGGGGACGGATTCCAACCCACGACTTTGGAAATGTGTGGCTACGGCCCGCGCAAGACACAGAGACTGGAAAAGACTTTTATAGTCATACTATGGCACAGAAGAGGCACAAGGTCAACTCTTTTTAGTGTCAAGCAAAAGAGCATCCAAACATCCTGAACACTGAAGAGTATGGATGAGGTCAGTTAGAGACCATTTTAGAGGAGATCAAAGGAAATACTGGAATTACTTTACTTGAGGCTGTCATCTATAATGCATTATAGATACCTTCATAATGCATTATAATGGTTGGTATAAGAATTAATAAAGCATTACAGCATCTTCTATTGACAGTCATAAGGCATTATGGTGTTGATTATAATACTTCATAAGCTCCAACAAATCGTTCATCTATAATGCACAACAGATACCTTCATAATACATTATAATGACTGATATGAGAATTAATGATGCTTTGTACTGCATTATAAATTGTAAGATGCTACGGTAAAATACATACAACACGCTAATGGCAACATCAAAAAATCCAGGTATTCCAATGCAGCAAATGTCTAAACGAGAAACAATAAGGAACAATAAATGAGCAGTATTTTCTGAAAATCTTTAGGGCATTATAGATGAAAACTTCATAAAACATTCATAACAAATAATAAATATGGCTATAATGTGATATGCCTTTTTCAAAACATTTATAGCCATGTTTACAGTATAATGCTTTATGAATGCATTATAATGTGTTGTGAATGTGACCGTATATTCTTACAGACATGACGTTCATGGAAAGTGTTACTGAAAAACTTAATGTTACTAATGCTGGTTTCGGTTTTGGGTTGGGAAGCAAAAAGTTGAAACTCAACTGATATCCTTACAGATACTCAATTACTCGATTACATCTAGGAAAAAAGACTGCACTATATTTACCACAGTGGTACACTGCTCTGTACAGTTTTCTTATTTATTCTGTAATTACCTTTGTGTTTATTTTATTCCTGATTTTCCTTTAAGTACTCATTGTGTTTTTACTTACATTATGGTGGGTTTTATTTATTTCTACATACTCTGTTCTTCATTGTTTTCATTTCTGCTTATTTTATTCTTAGTTGTATTTCATTCTGTACTGCTGGACAAAGAAATATTGATGTTCTCAAAATGTCACGAACTACACGAATAATTTAAAAATATGGGCGTTAAGTGATCAAACGAATGGATTTATTGAAACTTCAATAAAAAGATTTTGATCAAATGTAAGTTATAGTCATTTTCATTTATTTATATAGCATACAATATGAACCAGTGACCTTCCAATTACAGACATTAACCCGCAATGCACACAAAGGCCAATAAGATGTGGCCCTGATTTTAATTCATACTCTTCTTTTGATTCTTGGATATTGGAGATTTAAGTGAGCAAACGTGACATGAACATCTCACATTAAAACCTGCCTGACCAGACCTCCCTTCATGTACCTGAAAGACCGCAGAGACTCCCAGGCATCCAGCTGACCGAGGCAGATGGCTGGCGGGCAGGAGGAGCGGATTTAAGCACCGCTAGACTCCGGTCGGCTGCGGGGACAGCAAATAGCCATGTCGATGCGAGTCGTATGCAGCACCCTGCAAAGAAAACTCAGAAGGATAAGCATATCTACAGATGAACACAGTGAAGGGCAGTTAAGGTACGTCTCTAAAAAAAATCTGATCATGAACGCGACCATACTCTGTACAGCATGTAAATGTGACTCCTAATGCATTAATGAATCTACTGTACCGCAAACCACTGTTCAGCTATTTTCTCTAGAACTGGATCTGATGTAATGCATATTAAATGAAATGAATTGAACTTTTGCTTAGTTGCCGGTCTGTTGTGTGGAATTGTTTCCATTATATGGGTTTATAAATGGTTTCACATTGGCTGGTAAAAATGCAGGTATCGTGATATCGTGCCATCGTGTCCCCATGGCAGCTGAGGAATCCATAGCTTGACATTTGATTTGAAGTCATATGAAGCATCTTGGTAGAGTTATATAAACCACGTCACTTGCAAAATACATCCAGAAATAAGTTATTTTGGGATGCAATTTGGAATAAATAACTAAATCACATTCTGAGAATTGCTGCATAGGGATATTCTTGCCTGTTCATGTCTTAACACTGATTGTAATAAGTTACTGGATTTTCCCGGCGTTGTTCTGGAACCACTCAGAACATGGGACTGCAAAAACTATTTCTGGTCTGATTGGGAAATCAGGAAGCCGCCAATCAAGGACTGTGACCACATTCAATTGGGCAATATGTTTGTTGGGCTTAATGCAGTGGTACTCAACTATATATAGACCTAAACATCATGTTATTGACGGCTGAATAAAAACTAAGCAACTATACCAATGCTATGAAAAAGAAGATAGTATTTCACTATTATTGCTTGTAATAAACGTTATATCGACGCTCACCCGAATAAGCAGTTTGAAATAGGTGTGGATGGATGAGACTTAAATGTCTTACAGTGACAGCATCACTTAGAGGTGTTTGGTGTGAGCCCAAAATATCAAGCTGGAAATATTTCACCTGGTGTTTACTATATGGCGGGACACAGATGCTTTGAAGTCCCTTACAACCCTCAATGATAATAACAACAGTAACTGTGATTGCGCCAATGTGAATGGATGCTCTTCATTCCAGATTGTAAATGAGTATCGCCTGGAAAACATCCTCCAGTGAAACAACCTTTTTTTATGACTCTGCGGTTCAAAACAAACCATTGTATAAAATCAAGGTAATCTCTAATTATCATTCACTGCAGATTCTTCAACGTGACACCAAACTGAATGTACGCCTCACACCGGCCAGTGACACTTTGTGTGGCGTTGATTCAGAATAATACCTCCGGCTTCCCCGTCTGTTTTACAAACAGCCATCATCATCACCCTTCTGGGCTTCATTCTGCGTTGAACAAATGTTATACCTAATAGACTGAAAATTGCATCAAAACCAGAAATAAGATGAAAGTAACTCTATAATCTTTTTCAATTCAATCTAAATTACAGGCAAAAGGGATGTTTTACAACAGAATGTATTATATTTAAGTGCAATAACTCACATATGATATGTAACTATAATAGTTTGATACTGCATTTACTGGTGGGACGAGGCCATTTTTAAAAGAAAATCCAAATTACAGATTCATTACACAGTTCGCTGCAGCATGTGGTGTACAATAAACTCAGAAAGCACAAACCAACTGGCAACACACATAACAACTAAGTCATTAAATCCCCTCCTTTCAGATCGTTCTCCTGCCAAAACAGACCTCTATCTTTCCATTTTTTTTATGTTCTGACCTGCCAACATTGTTCTACGACACGCTGAAGTAAATGTTTATATTGGAATGGTGTGCCCCTCATAATCTCCCATGCACTGCCCCCATAAATGCCTGAACACAAATTAGTATTAGGCATTATTAAGCAATAAACAGACTCACAACTGTCCCATCAATAAATAAGCCAGGTAGCTACAAAGGAATTAGAGTGGAACGACAAAATTATAAGCAATATTTATATAAATGTAATGTGAACAGATCAACCCGATTACAGTGAGCAGATAACCTCAGAGGAATAGCCTTCAATGGGAGTTATCAGCTTCGCATTTGAATAGATTTCGAGTGTCATTTTGTTGAGACAAAAATGCCAAATTGCTTGTTAGACTTGTTTGTGGTGCCTGAAAAGCCTTAGTATTATTTTTTTTTATGTGATGTGTGGGTGCAGCTCTAATTACCAATCTAACCAAAGTGAATTAGCAATTACTCATATTTAACCAAAGTGAAGTAATAATTACTGAGTTTGCCATTGTACGAGAAATACTGAATATTCTCTTCACTAACTTCAAAACAACAATAAAGCACCTTATCCATCCAATTACGGAAGACAACAAGGTAAATTCTAAATATATTTATTCACGCTGCCTATAATCTACTTAACAAGAGGTTTTCACAGACCGAAAATACACTCTGTCTCACCTTACTCTGATTTTCAAGGCTTCTTCTTTCACACCAATTTGTGAAGAACAAGATCTTAATTAAAAGCTTTAGATTTCAGAGGAACACAATACAGAAGAGGAAGCCTCCGTACAAATTGTTCTGAAATATCCACCTGATGATTATTCTCACTGCATGTGTGAGGCGCTTTGTGTTCAAGTAATACCAGGATCACAGGGAGTTTTCTAAGTCGCCGATCTTATCCTGCTTCCTGGTCTGCTCTTTCTCAAACTTCAGAATAAAGACTGCAAGCACTCCGCTCGGGCTATTGTTTCATAACTCATCAATATCTTCCACTTCTTAATAGCACTGCATAACTTCTCTACTTGCTATGTGGTAATAGATGTCATGGAATATGTTCCTGTTTGAAAAATTCTAATTACCTCATAACGGGTTTATTTACAAATGACCACAAGTAAGTTTGAAAGAAAAAGGTTTTGCACACTTTATTATATAACATCCACGCTTCTGATGCAATGCAGTCAAATCTCAAGATATTGCCAAAGAACTGTCAGTCTGAAGATGAAAAAGATGAAGAAATGTGTCTTGCTGGTTCTGCAATGCTCCTGTCACACACGTACACAAAGAAAATCCTTAAATGTTATCAAAAACATACATGTGTCTGCAGTTTTTTTAGTACTGTCATCTGTCAAACACTGTTTGTTTTATAAAGCAATTTGTAGGTAGAATCTGGAGAGGCGTCAGCCTGTGCTGTTATAGATAAATTCATATACCGATGGAGACCTAAGATTAGAGATGTTTCTGAATGCCGGCAGTAATGAGTAGTGCCGTGCGTAACAGTCCACATCTCTTCCAAACCCCCAGAAAGCAGCACAAGATTTATCTAAGCAACTCCATGCGTCCATCGGCTTGATTTGATAGCCGGATGGTACCACAGAGGGTTAGTCAGATATCAAGCTATCTGGGAACTGAGTAGCTGCAAAGCTGCACCTGCCAATTCTGCAGCAATGTGCCCCAAAATCCAAATGCTGTGGATGAGGGACATATCTGCACGCTGCACGAGGCATGCAAATCCTACTACTCGCAGGCTGTTATTCTTCATGCGGGAATTAACACGGTCGCCCAGACCAGCAGAAAATAAGTTGAAATGAAAACATCTCTATCAGTTCCTTTATCCCTGCTCAACGAAACTGCAATACCGCTGTCTCCATTGTGATACCGTGTCCAATTAAGCAGTGCTACGTCATAGTGCAATCTCTGCAACCACCAAAACCCCATTTTAATTCCTACAGACTCGAAGCAGGCCACTGGCTCTGTAAACATAATTACTGTTTTTGAGTCTTCTGTTAAAAAGTAAATAAAGATTGAGTTCATTCAGCGGGAAGATCTGTGAGGTCAACTGACTGGGAGTTCATGACCTTGTCTGCAAGAGAATTGTGGAGGGAACAGAGAGAGTGACTTATAAAGTTAACTGTTGTTTTGGGAGCAGGAGCAATCTGTGAATTTTATACTCACAGTGAGAACCAATCATAATAATTCTGGCTGGGGAATGGCAGTAGAGCTTTAGTGAAGAACAGATCCTTAAAGGAGTCCATAAAACGACTGCATATAAACAATAGAAGACTGAAAGACAACCCGAGTCACTGAGTCCGTCTTAAATTTTCATTCTCACCTAAAGGAAAAGAACAAAGTCGGGCACAGTTCTGAGGTGAGATGTGACATCAGTCACATAGGTTGGAGACAGACAATGTTTTCCAGGTGCAAGTGAGAAATAATTGGGAAAAACTGAAAAACAAAAAAAATTGGATGATTTTGAGAAAAGTGGCTGACAATGTCTCCAAAAACACAAAAGAACGGGAAATTGTTAGTGGAGAGCAGACGAAGACGACTTGCTCCTATGTTACAACACTTCCTCGGTGGCTTTTGAAAGCTATGCTAGGCTACAGCCATGACCAGGGATTGACATAACTGGTACGCAAGTACGCATTCACCTTTAAAAGCGATACGTGCGGCAATCGATTGTTGTAGGATTGACTTGGTGAAGGGGCTGTCGGGTTTGGAGAGTGACAGTGCCATAAAATTGAAGAGAGGATTATTTACCGTTCACACGGTGTACACCATGATTTACGATGTGCATTACTAGCATTTATTTAACTGTGCGTCAATTTCCGCTAGCATGTATGTGAGAATTGCCATCTTATGCAAGCTTCAAATGCTATGTAATCTGTAAATTTCCATTACGAGTCCATTTCAATCAACTATTTTTTTAAGTATGAGTTTTGGAGTTATCAGGAATGTATTAATACATAGCGATGTGCAACTAATAATTAGTAAACATGTGGGGTGGCATGGTGGTGCAGTCGTTAGCACTGTCGCTTCACACCTCAGGGACCTGGGGTCGAGTCTCCACCACGGTTCCATGGTGTGTATATGTCCTCCCTGTGGCATTGTGGGGTTTCTTCTAGGTACTCCAGTCCCTGCCCCCCACACCCCATCCAAGGTCGTTCCTTGCATTGTGCCCATAGTCTCCAGTATTAGCTTCAGACCCCCTGCAATCCTAAACTGGATAAGTATTTCCAGCATATGAATGAATGGATAGGTGTGCCGCTTTTTCCTTCTGACA